CGGCAGACACAACATCTTTGTTTGTATGTGGTGCTGAGGATCGAACCCGGGCCGCACGCATGCCAGGCGAGCGCGCTACCGCTTGAGCCACATCCCCAGCCCCCGAGAGAGAGTCTTGCTAAGTTATTGAGGCTGGTCTTGAACTTGTGATCCTCCTGCCTCAGTCTCCTGAGTTGCTGGGATTATAGATATGTGCCACTCTGGCCACAAGCACTTTTTTATGAATTTTAATTGGTCTTTCTTGGTTAAAAACTTAAAGATGTCATCATATGCTATTATTTTCTGCCCCTGATTGTCCTACTCATCGAGAAATATTGGCATGACCGGGAAAACAGTATTTGATTTCAAGTAGTGTAATTGGTGTGTAGTTTTTCTTAAAGAGTTGTTGTTTTCATTCCTTTACTGATGCCACACAGTTGTCACATTAAATTGTCACGTTTGGGAAAGAGCACCAGCCGCGAAACAATGCCCTTATGCTCCAGGGTGGGACTGTCACTTTAGTATCTGGATAACTTCACACTTATAGCTTAATCTATTTTTTCTAATGAGAATGATGGTACTCTGCCTRCTTGCCTTATATGATAGCAGTAAGGATGACTTGAAATGAAAATATGCTTTGAAAATTGAACTTTTGATGGGCTTGGTGGTGTACATCTGTAATCCAAGTGGCTCTGGAGGCTCAGGCAGGAGGATCGAAAGATTGTGGCCAGCCTCAGCAACTAAGCAAGGCCCTAAGCAATTTAGTGAGAGAATATCTCAAAATAAAAAATAGAAAGAGCTTGAGATATGAATCAATGGTAATGTGCCTCTGGGTTCAATACCAAAACAGAAAAAAGAAAAAGAAAAGGAAAAAAAAATGATAATTCTTGGTGGTGATATTCTAAATATATTAGGTTCTCTGACAGGTTATAGGAGGATGATTAATATAACCTTTATTGATAGGTCCCTTATCTGATAATTATGTTAAGATTTTTCTTGTTCCTGAGTATAAAAATAGATGATATTCCCACTCTCCCTTTATTATGTTCTAGGTTTTTGTGGGAATCCAACAACAAAGCTGGAAGGATATATTAATTCACTTACCTTCTGAATTTCCTTTAGGATGACCTTGATCTGACAGCTTCATGCCATGCTAAGTCCTTTCAGCTGGCAAAATCTCAGAAACGGAACCGGGTAGATTGCAGCTCTCACCAGGAGGAGACCCAGCAGCGAACAGAAGAGGCACTGAGAGAGCTCTTCCAGCACGTTCACAGTATGCCAGAGTCCGCAAAGAAGAAACAGCTTATTAGACAGGTGCCCAAGGACAGGGGAATAGTGAGAGGTTTTAGGAACATGATCACATTTGTGGAATCACTAGGCAATATTGTTAAAGAATCTCATTTAAGTTTTGACTCTTTTTGAGACAAGCTTTGGCCCTACTAGAGAAAGAAATAAAGGCCCTTGGATTTCTGCAGTTAAATAGGAGGATTCAGAGTATCTCTACTTTTGGTCATGTGCCAAGTTTTCTTAGAGCCAGAAATTAAAATATAATATAATATTCCAAAGTTTAAACTCTTAACAAATTTTTCTGGCAAATAATTTGACTTTCTGAATCTCAGTTTTTTTTGTTTGTTTGTTTGCAAAATGGTAATAGTATTGACCATGTTTCATGGCTGTAAAGATTAGAGATAATGTACATAGAATGACACAGTATAAATGGTAACTCTCAACAATAGAATTGTTTGTAGTTAGAAAAACACTATAAACCAAGGTCCTAGGCTGATTCTAGAAGGTAGGAATCTAGTGTTATCTTTGTTTATTTTGGAGCTATGGGAGCAAAATTAGGTCTTCCATTTGCTACTTTCAGCACTCAAAGCATAGTTTGAGTAAATCCTGACTACTTGGCTACTTTCTTTCTGAGGAAATGTGTTTGTCTCAGTCTCTCTTGAATTTTTTATTTTATTTTATTTTATTTTATTGGTTGTTCAAAACATTACAAAGCTCATGATATATCATCTTTCATACATTTGACTCAATTGGGTTATGAACTCCCATTTTTACCCCAAATACAAATTGCAGAATCACATCRGTTACACACTCACATTTTTACATAATGGCATATTAGTGACTGTTGTATTCTGCTACCTTTCCTATCCCCTACTATCCCCCCTCCCCTCCCCTCCCATCTTCCCTCTCTACCTCCTCTGCTGTTGTTCAATTCTCTCCCTTATTTCTCTCCCCCTTTTCTCTTGAATTTTAACTGAACAGTTGGGGTCAGTTTGTTAGGAGTTTGCTACATTACAGCAAACTGAATTTTAACTGAACAGTTGGGGTCAGTTTGTTAGGAGTTTGCTACATTACAGCAAACTGACATATCAACTGACAGTTTTGGAGGTTTCAGCCTGTAACTAGTGGCCCTGTTGCTTTTGGGTCAGTGGTGAGGCAGGACATCATGGCAGGGCACATGTGGCAAAACTGTTTGCCCATGGAGGGGAAGCTAAATAAAGAGAAGAGGTCATGGCTCCACAATTCCCTTGGAGGTCACACCCCCAGTGATCTAAGACTCCTACTAGGCCCTACCTCTTAAAGGTTTTACCACCTCCCAGTAGCACACTGGCTGGGGACCAAGACTTTAACACATGGACCTTTGGGGGACATTTCAAATCCAAGCTACAGGAGTCAGCCTCTTTACTTCTAGGACCTTGGAGGAAGAGTCAGTTTTTATATATTTATTTTATTCCTGATCTCAAGTATAGAGCCAGGTATAAACAAGTATTTAGAAAATGTTGAATGGAGCTATGATTAACAATTGATAAAGATCTTTTTGTTTTTTGGCACTGAGGCTTGAACCTAGGGGTGCTTAACTACTAAGCCACATCTCCCTCCTTTTTTTATATATTTATTTAGAGAAAGGGTCTTGCTGAATTGCTAAATGCCTCGCTAAGTTGCTGAGACTTACTTTGAACTCGCCATCCTCCTGCCTCAGCCTCCTGAGCTGCTGGGTTTACAGGCATGCACCACTGTGCCCAGCTTGATAAAGATATTTAAGTTTTTGGTCACTCTTTTTGAGATTACTTTGAGATTTAGTAAATTGTCTATGACTGGATTTTTCAGGGTATTGGATGAGTATTGTTGCAGATTCAATGCCATCTAGTGACTAAATTTTCCATAGAAATTAAAACAGTAGTAGTTTCATATAGGACAGGTGTAATGGATTTTCTCAAGAGTACTGACAGTTAAAGACAATACATAGGAAAAGACATTTTTTTTGCTGTTCTTAGAAAAATAGGAAGTTATAGAGAAGGGTAAAAAAAAAAAATCACTCATTCCACCAGTGTTTATATTTTGAACACTTCTTTTAGACTTTTTCCTATGGTATATTTTTATATAGTTATGATCATGTGATAAACTTTTTTTTTAATCTCTCTTTTTTTTCACCAAACTGAGCATAAGCATATTTTCATAAATGCTTGCAAACTCCTTCCATTCATTTTAGATACTCCCATACCTTTTTGAAAAAAAATAATTTTACTATATATTTTTTCTCTATGATTATTAAAAATAATATGCTCACTGTAGAAACATAAAAACCTCTTATAAGAATATAAAGGAGAAAATAAAAGGAACCTATCATATCCAGAGATAACCATTTTGGAGTATTTCTAGAGTTTTTCTTCCTGAATATATATTTTACATTTCTTTGTTAATTAATATATATTTAGTTTTATATTCTACCCTTTTCCTTTAACTTTATATCACAGACATTTTCTATGTCCATTGAAAGGTTATGAACATTTGAAGTGTTTGCATAATACATCCTATGTAACCTAATTTATGGACAGTTTGCCTACTATTGGACACATTGGGGAAATTAGATTGTTTTTTAGTTTATAAAATTTTTTTTCATAAGTATTTAATTGTGTATCATTTCCTTGAAAAAGTATGACCAAAGCATTATTAGTTTTGACTGATATATGTCCCTTCCCTCTTTTTTCCTCCTGAAAAAAAAAATGTCAGTATTTGTTTGAATAAACTTTTAAATCTGAAATAATTTTAGATTTAGAGAAAAGTTACAAAGTTAATAGAGTGTCCACATACTTTTCACCCAGTTCCATATTATCAAACCAGGAAACTAACATCTAATGTACCACATTTTTGTTAACACTGTAGTCTTTATTCAGATTTTATCAGTCTTTTTATTAATGCCCTTTTTCYGTTGTAATGCCATGTTTCTGTTCTGATCTAATCTAGGGTACCCCTTTGCATTAATACATGTTTACACATGCATACACATTCTCCATTTCTCTTTATTTGAATTTCATTTGTGGAAGAAACCAAATTGTTTATTCCCCAGAGTCTGGATTTTACTGATTGCATCCCCATGGTATTATATAATATATCCAACAGTCCTCTATATTTACTATAAAGTGGTAGTTAGATTTTTTTCTGGGGGCTTATTCCAATCCAGTTCTTTTTCTGATAAGAACACCTTGTAAGTGGTACATACTTCATAATATGCATTTTTWAAAAATATTTATTTTTTTAGTTGTAGTTGGACACAATACCTTTATTTATTTATTTATTTATTTTTATGTGGTGCTGAGGATCGAACCCAGGGCCTTGCACATGATAGGCAAGCGCTCTACTGCTGAGCCACAACCCCAGCCCATAATATGCATGTTTTAAGAAATATATATATATATTTTAGTTATAGATGGACACAGTATCTTTATTTATTTATTTTTATGTGGTGCTGAGGATTGAACCCAGTGCCTCACACTTGCAAGGCAAGTGTTCTACCACTGAGCTATAGCCCCAGACYCCATAATATGCATTTTTAAAAGGATCTGAATACTCCTTGCTAAAGAGCTTCCCAGAACATTTTATTAATTAATGCTTTTCACTGGATGTACAATAATGATAACCATTTTATTGTACCTTTGCCAACATTTATCAGAAATGATGGGTTTTCATGGGTTCCAGTATTTTCAGGAAGAATCCTTACTAGATAACTAGAGGTAACTAAATTTTTGTTTTCTGAGATAATTAATTTTGAAAACTTCTTAGTACCCATATATAAAACAGTCACTTTTTAAACCTCCAGAATCTGAACTGATAAAAACATACAAGTTTACAATTGAGAATTGTAAAAAGTTTAGTTAGAAAGGGCAGAAGAGTAAATTCTTCAGTTAGGCACTATATTAAAACATTAAGACTATACAGTGTCTCATATCTTCCCTTTTTCCACCTTAAATTCCTCCATACAAAGAACTCATGTTCATAGAATTGGAAGTTTGTGTTCTGATCTATTATTCTTTGATGATAATAATGAATTCTATTTAAACAGCTTTAATAACTTAAAAAATTCAGTATGCAACTTATGTTAAATTAAGGACTACTTTAGGTTGTGCCAATAACTATGTTTAAATGTTTTATGCAAAAAAAAAATTTGTTATTTACTAGCAGGAGCTCTTGGGAGAATTCCATAAGCTCTCCATGTCTCAATGTCCTTATCTGTAAAATAGGGGTAATAGGGGCTGGAGTTGTGGTAGAGCGCTTGCCTGGCATGTGTGAGGCCCTGGATTTGATCCTCAGCACCACATATGAATAAATAAAATAAAAGATCCATTGACAACTAAAAAAACATTTTAAAAAATATAGGGATTATAATTCCACATTCAAGGAATAGGAAAAATAGTACTACTCAGAGTAACTTAATATATTTTTATTTCTTTTTTTTTTAAACATTTATTTTTTTTAGGTGTAGATGGACATAACACAATGCCTTTATTTTTATGTGGTGCTGAGGATAGAACCYGAGTCCCGCCCATGCTAGGCGAGCGCTCTACCGCTGAGCCATAATCCCAGCCCTATATTTTTACTTCTTTTTGGAAATATTATTTCTGCTTTTGTTTTTTGTGTGCTGGGGATGGAACCCAGGGCCTTTCACATCTAGGGCCTTACCCATTCTATTTCTATCAATGAGCTGCATTCCGGGCCACCGTTTCTGCCTTTGTAATTTGCTTGATGACCTACTGATGTATACATGCAGACTCATTTATTCCTGGAGTTTTGGGGTRTTTACACTAGGAGAATATTAATAAAATGTTCTCTGTATTTTCTTTTAGTTTCAAAAGCAGTCTTTGACTCAGACACCAGGGCGAGAACCTTCCACTCCCCGGGTACAGAAGAGGGCCCGTTCTCGCTCCTTCAGTGGGCTTATTAAGGTAGGTATGCTGTGCTTTTTCAGTAATGATTGTGAGGAACTATAACAGTCTGACTTTTTCTTATGCATAAATAGTTTCTTTAGTCCTTGGACTCCTTTAATGGATTAATTTATAAGGGGTAAAGATAGGATTTGGAAAGGCTTTTATTTTTCAAAACATTTTGCTGTGTTTTAAATCAGAGATGGGGTTCTCCGGTGCAAAAGAAATAAAGGTTCTTCCTTCTCTTCTGGGGCTGAGGACAGAGTTCTCATTCCTGAGCAATGTGGATGGTCTCTTTTGCTTTCTGACCTGCTTTATAGTACATACTTCTTTATTCAATTTGATAAACCCATGTTTATCAAACATGAGGAAGTTGAGAGATTGGGGACATTGTTAGAAAAAATGGATTTCTATTAGGCTAGTGAATTTTTATTACCTCAAATTTTGGTAAACTTATTTTTTTTACTGTTGTTGTATTCTCTTCCCTTGTATCAAATTTGCTAAAAATCTTACTTTTAGAATGAATGTAAAATATATTTCTGTGCTTTTGCTGCCATGACCTTATTTACAGATTCAGTTGACAAGTCTTCACAGATGGTCTGGAGTTGTAGTTGAAAAATATTGCCATAAGGTGGCAGTAGATAACTTGGATATGGGGTTCAAATTTCCATGCATAAACTAAGGCAAGGTTCTGGTTAACTTGAGAGGTATTTTGTGTTCTGTCTTCTTTACTTCCTCTTTTCCAGGGGCTATCAGCCCCAGTTCTTTTTGTTTTTTAACTTTTGAGACAGGATCTTTCTAAGTTGTTGAGGGTCTTGCCAAATTGCCCAGGCTGGCCTCAAACTTGAGATCTTCAACCTCCTAAATCACTGGGATTATAGGTATGTGCCACCACACCAAGCCCTTTTTATATTTTTCTTTTCTTTTTTTTTAAATATTTATTTTTTTTAGTTTTCGGCGGACACAACATCTTTGTGTGTATGTGGTGCTGAGGATTGAACCTGGGCTGCACGCATGCCAGGCGAGCGCGCTACCGCTTGAGCCACATCCCCAGCCCCCTTTTTATATTTTTCATTTTGAGACAGGGTTGCTGAGGAGGGCCTCCAACTTGGAATCATGCAAACTCAGCCTCCTGAGCCATTGGAATCATATCAGCGTGCCATCACTCCCAGCCTATTTTTCTTTTAAAAATTGTTTTAACATTATTAAGATATAAAATTCAGTAACATTAAGGAACCCTTTGATTATAACTTCAAGTTTATGTTTTAAAAAATGCATACCTTGGGGGGTGGGGATGTGGCTCAAGCGATAATGCGCTCACCTGGCATGCCTGGGGCGCTGGGTTCGTTCCTCAGCACCACATAAAAAAATAAAATAAAGATGTTGTTCTACTGAAAACTGAAAAATAAATACTAAAAAAAAAATTCTCTTAAAAAAAAATGCATACTTTGGGCTTGGGTTGTGGCTCAGGGGTAGAGCATTTGCCTCACATGTGTGAGGCAGTGGGCTCAATTCTCAGCACCACATATAAATAAATGAATAAAATAAAAGTCCATCAACAATTAAAAAATATATATTAAAAAAATCCCTTGTGGTGGGCATGATGGTGCATGCCTGTAATCCCAGCTACTTAGGCTGAGGCAAGAGGATTGAAAGTTCAAGGCCAGCCTGGGCAACTAAGGGAGATACTGTCTCAAGACAAAAAAAGTTAAAAAAGGGCTTGGGATGTTTCCTGGTGGTAAACACCCCTGGGTTCAATCCTTAGTAACATCAAAAAAACAACAAAATTTGTAATTTTTTTCTCCCTTTAAGCTGCAGTGATTAGCAGTTACAGACTGATTTAACCCTAGTTTTTGTTGTTGTTGTTGTTGTTGTTGTTGTTGGGGGCAGTAGGGAGAGTGGTACTGGGGATTAAACTCAGGAGCACTCGACCACTGAGCCACATCCACAGCCCTATTTTGTATTTTATTTGGAGACAGGATCTCACTGATTTGCTTAGTGCCTCACCATTGCCAGGTCTGGTTTTGAACTCATGATCCTCCTGCTTCAGCCTCCAAAGCTGCTGGGATTGTAGGCATGTGCCACTGTGCCGGGTTTAACCCTAATTTTGATTCTTGTTACAATTTGTAAAAGTATAGAATTCACTTTTAATGCTGATCTGCTGGGGCCAGCAGCTTCTGGTATATTGGGCCTTCTTGATGTCAAAGTTTGCTTTCAGTAGAGTGTAAAGTTACATGGAATGGGAGACAGTATTTGCAAATTATATACCTGGTTAGGAGTTAATATCCCAAATATATAACAAACATCTATAACTCAACAGCAAAAACCAGCTTCATAGCCAGGTGCAATGGTGCGTGCTTGTAATCCCAGCAGCTCGGAAGTCTGAGGCAGGAGAATCAAGAGTTTAAAGTCAGCCTTAGCAAAAGCAAGATGCTAAGCAACTGAGTGAGACCCTGTCTCTAAATAAAATACAAAATAGGGATGGGGATGGGGGAATGTGTGTAGTCTTTAATGATAAGAATTTCTGTTCAAGAGGATGAAAAAGTTGTGAATGGTAGGTCAATGGTTGGACAACACTGAATGTACTTCATACCACCATGTTTCTTTGACTGAAGTTAGATGCTATAGTTTTCTGTCTTTGTGAGTTAGCTTTAGGTGCATTGCTAATTGTTGCTGGAAATGTAAATATAGTATTCTCTTAGCAGCTGCCCACTTCTTTACTATAAGAGAATTTAGAACTTTATAAAGAGCTTATAATTCTATCAGGATAAAACATTTAAAACACAGTGTTAACAAATTTTTATAAAGTAGAGAGCCAGAGTGTTTGTTATAAATGAAGATTTTTTTTTTTTTTTTTTGTATCCAGGATTTAACCCAGGAATTTTACCACTGAGCCACATCCCTTTTTAAAGTATTTTTATAGGGCACTGGGTTTGATCTTCAGCACCACATAAAAATAAAGATATTGTGTYCACCTAAAACTAAAAGATAAATTTTTTAAAAAAGTATTTTTATTTAGAGGCAGGGTCTCGTTGAGTTGCTTAGGGCCTCACTAAGTTGCTGAGGCTGGCTTTGAACTGGAGATCCTCCTGCTTCAGCCTCTCCAGCTGCTGGGATTATAAGCATGTGCCACTGTTCCTGGATGTAGCTCAGTGCTATAGCACACCTGGGTTCAATTCCCAGTACACAAAAGTAAGTTCCCAAAGACCTGGGTTCTTTTCAGTTCTTCACTTGGTTTTCCATGGCATTGGTTTTGTCCTATAGCTAACTAATCTCAGTGCAGCAGTGTTTAGAGGACATGCTTCCTCATTCAAAGCATATAGTCTGTGTTCCAGCATCTTTTTCAAAAGGGCTGCAGTTTGACTGGCTCTATCCTGTTTTCTTTAAAATTAAAAAAATAAATTTAAACATTTCTCATCAGCTTAAGGTATAACTGATCCCTGCCCCCCCCCAAAAAAAAAATCCTGCTCTGATCTTTCTTTTTGGCTAGGATATTTTTCCTCCAGAATGCCTCCTGTAAATAATTTAAATACATTATTGCATCAGACTGTTTTGAATATTGCTGCTGATATTTATAATGTAAAGTTTGATGTTTTGGTTTTGATGTATTCTTTTTTTTAATGCAGATTTATTATCCAATGGGGAAAAAAAGGAAAATTTTATCCAAAGATCATAGTATTGTCACCATTAGCTGTTACAGTTGATTACATGAGCTTCCAAGCTGTTCAGAGATGAAAGGGCTTTTAGCTGTGCTTTGAATATCAGTATAGTCATGTGATCTTCTTAAGAAGTCCTGTACCCTCTTGTGGCTTTATTAGGAACTCTTAATAGAATTCCTCCAAATTTTCCAGTCCTGTGTGAGGAGATGACAAGGAAGCAAAATCCTATAGACCAGTCTCCATATCCTGTTATGGGGAGGGGAGGGGACTCTTGACAGCTGCTAGAGATAACACATCTTTGGGGAGAAAACTATACTGGTAAGTAACAGGCATTTCTTTTATGGTTTTAGAGGCACACTGCAGTTTGCTTGTGGTCTGTAATTTAAGTGAACTATAAAGTTTCTTCTAATGTCAGCCCTTTTAAATGTGGAGGAAAAGTGTTCACTTAAAGAAGAGCAATGATTTCAGGTGTTTTGATATGTTTTGGTTTCCCTTTTATGAGAGAGCCTGGGAGGATCTTTGAAGAAGTTAACAGAATAATGAGTTTTTTTTTTTTTAATGATAGGAAATGTAATTTAAAGGCCAAGATAGCTATAATAAATGTTTGTAAATTATTTTCTTTTCCTAAATCAGCGAAAAGTCCTGGGAAATCAGATGATGTCAGAAAAGAAAAACAAGTACCCTTCGAGAGAATCTGTGGCTGTGGATGAATTGAAGAGAGACAGCAAAGAGAACCTAAACTTAGTAAGATGCTATTTTGTGTACTTTCTCTCTGTATGTGCACATTTGTAGAGAGCTTGTGTTTTTTTTTTTTCTTCTTTTTCTTTGGTTGATTGGATCTCATTATGTTGTTGAGGCTGGCCTTGAACTCATAATTCTCCTGTTTCAGCCTCCTCAATAACTAGGGTTATAGGCACACACCAACCATGACAAACTTACGTTTGGAAAAAAATTGATATACAGTCATTTGTTTTACTGTGTTACCCTGGGCCATTCAGTTATGCTTTTTTCAATTAATTCTTTCATATGCTGATATCGTCTTTCTAKAGTTTTTAAGATCATTCAGCAAACATTTTTTTTTTTAAATATTTTTTTAGTTGTCAATGGATCTTTATTTACTTATTTTTTTGTGTGGTACTGAGGATTGAACCCAGTGCCTCACACATGCTAGACAAATACTCTACCACTGAGCTACAACCCCAGCCCTCAGTAAGCATATTTTAAGTTCAAGAAGACTATAATTATTCACAAGCACTAAGTGACCAGTATGGTGCAGCAGTTCCGTAATCAAGTGTTGAGAGATTCCACAGGCAGGTAACATTTGAGCCAGGCCTCCTTGGCTGTGCATTACCTGTGGGGTAGTCCTTCAGGGTGTCCCCAACCTGGCTGCTTCATTAAGCTACCAGTAAATCAGTTAAGATTAATGAAATGCAAATCATCAGTCTCAGTAAAACTCTTCACATTGAAATTGAATGTAAATAATTCTGTTAGCTGGGAATGATGACACATGCTTGTAATTCTAGCCACTCAGGAGGCTGAGGTAGGAAGCTTGCAAGTTCAAAGCCAGCTTCAGCAGCTCAGCAAGGCCCTACCCAACTTAATGAGACATATCTCAAAATAAAAAAAGGGCTGTGGCTGTGGCTCAATGATAAATCCCCAGAGCTGGGGGGAAAAATATTCTGTTAGTAAAATATATCTATAAGCACTGACACTAGAACATTCAAACCTTCATAAAATTTTCTTGTTTCAGGTATTTTCTGGCTCTCCAGCTATTATGATGACTCCAACAAAATTGAAATGGTCTGAGGGAAAGAAAGAGGGGAAAAAAGGTACTAATTGTACTTATTGTCTGTTCTTGCTGAATGTACCTATTTAGTCAAATCAGTGGCAGTTTTTGAATTCCCAGGGGTGGTATATTTGGAGATAGCTGAAATGTAAAAATGACAAGGCCAGGTCCCTGTGTTGAATTCYTTCATGAGATGGGTATGCTACTTAGTACTGCCCCAGATGCCAAGAGGTAGAGCTTCAAACAGATCTACCTGGTCCCTGCCTGCTTGGACCGACAGGACRTGTGTATAAGTTACCTTAAGAATATTTGTTAAGCAACTTTAAAAAAAAGTGAGTGATTTATGAGACCAATAACAACAAGTGCTTGGTGCATGCTGATGGAATGGTTATGTCCCTTTTCTGTGTAGTTGTCAGCCTTGATCAGCAAAACTTGTCCGATGTTATAGGACTCTGAAAATTGTATACCACATGTTTTTTGAGGCTGTTTAGTCCTGAAAGGATTGTTTGATGGTGAGACTGCTGATTGTTCCAGGTTCTTCTGGCAACTGCTGTGCTTTTCTCTGAAAGAGTTGGTAGTTCACTGGAAAGACTGTGATTTGTGTTGGTCCTTATTTGAGTCCTCATTCCTCTGACCAAGGAAAACCACTCATTCTCTCTGAACTCCAATTTTCTCCTCTGAAAATGAGGATGATACAGGTGTAGCATCCTTAATTTAAATTTAGAAAGCTGAAATCAGCCTTCAAAATCTGAAATTATCCCCAAGCAGTTTTTAAAAATTTTTTAAGTTGTTGATGGATCTTTATTTTATTTATATGCAGTGCTGAGACTCAAAACCAGTTAGTTTTTCACACATGCTTACCCCTGAGCCATAACCCCAGCATTTTGACTTTTATTTTTATTTTTATTTTGGTCCTGGAGCACACTGAAGCACATCCCCAGCCCTTTTTTGTATTTTAGAAACAGGGTCTCACTGAGTTACTTAGGGCCTTGCTGAGTTGCTGAGGCTGGCCTTGAACTTGCAATCCTCCTGCCTCAGCCTCCCAAGCTACTGGGATTACAGATGTGTGCCACCATGCCCAGTGTGCATTCTGACTTTTAGAGTTTTGGATTAGGGATATTCAACTGATAAAATCTGAAAATCCCCCAAGTCTGAAACTTCTGGTTCCAAGAATTTTGGATAAGGGATATTTATCCTGTAGTTAGACCTACTTGACAGATTTATCATGAGACTCAATTGAAATAATATTTTTAGAAGTACATTATAATTATTAAGGCCTTAACAAGTTGTAATAGTTGTTACTGAGGAAAACCAGATGAGAGCTAGCCTGGTTATATATAGATGATTTCTAGCTTAACATGCTTGTTTTACTWCTGAGACATGAGCATAATTACTGTTTGAGACATCAGAAGTAGGAAGAGAACAAAAGCCCAATCCTTGTGGATGAATCTTCATTCTTATCTAGAAAATTAGATTTCACTATAGTCTTCTTATCTTTGAATGAATTATCTGAGCTCATGTTTCTTTCCTTCTTGCTTCTGACTTTGGGGCAAGGGCTCTCTGACTGAGGCAAGAATGGCGTTTGAATTATTTATGTCTAAATATTTCTATCTGTATGTCCATGAGTCAAAACTAAGTATAAGTTATTTTTGAAAGATATGTTGTTTTGTATCTATTACAACTTTAGTTGCTATCATTTTTGAAGATAAGCAGGAAATAATAAGTCTTTCTATCTTGAGAACTCTATTTTGGAAAGAAAGAAATGAATTTAACAAATCAGCCAGTTTGCTATTTTATTGAGGAGTTTTAGAGCAGGGGTTTTTGACCTGTTGTCTGTRGCCTTCCTAAGGGGTCTAATAAAGTCCCTGGCATTATTGTTGCACTCTTTTATGTGAGTTCATGTGTGCATTTTTCTTGGGGAGAGAACCTATAGTTTTTGTTAGATTCTCAAAAATGGTAGTGGTTCAGAAAGATATAGATGCACAGAAAATGAATGACTTTCAGGCCAGGCATTATCACTCTATCCTGTCTCTGGTCACTTCCTCTGTCCTTTCTTGCTATTATGGTGCTAGCTATTCTTGTTTTCCTCTTTTTTTCTTTAATTTTCTTTTGTCTATAGTAGCTTACTGTCATCTTCCTAGCCCTCTTCTTCTTCTCTTGTAGTTTTAAAAAATCTGTCTTCTCTGCTCTTCTCTCCTCTTGTTTTTATTTCCTCCTCTTAGTAGCTCGGTCTGCTTCTCCAGCCCAGTTCTGTGCTCTGTGTGTTGACTATCAAACCAGCATCTCCAGGTCTGAACTTTGTTTTAGTCTCCAAGTCTGCAGATCCAAGAGCCTGCAGTGTGTTTCTTTAACATAACAATGAATACAGTCCTAAGTTTGTTTTGGTACTGATGTTTATAAAAATAACAAATGTTCTTTGAAGAAGATAATGCAATTTTATTATCACCATCAATAACATAATCCCCAAAGACTTCTATTTAGCAAAGGGTTTCTCAGCCTTGGTACTATTGTCATTTTGGGTCACTTAATTTTTTGTTGTGGGGCTTCCCTGTGCATTGTATGATGTTCAACAGCATCTCTGGCTTCTACCCACTAGATACTAGTTGTGACAACCCCAAATGCCTTCAGACATTACCAAATGTCTCTTGAGGGGGAAAGTCAYCCCCAAATGGGAACAACTGATTTAGCCTGTATTTATTAATGGAATTAAAAAATAATGTTATTTTCAGTAGTCACAATCTTACCTGTTCTTTAAGGTTCAGCTTGAAACCCCAGATCCTCTTTGAAACCTTCCTATCTAACCCAGCCAGATAGAATTACCTTTTTCCTTTGAACTCTGATGCTACTAAACTGGAAACAGTGTGATTTATGGTTATTCACTTTACATGTGTTGTCTTATTTCTATCTGGTTTSTTTTCTGGGAGACAAGGGTCAGACTTTAAGTATTTGTGGCCTCTGTCTTCTGTTATTCTCTGTCTCGCAATGATGACAGTGCCTTGTTCTATTAAGTGTTCATCACACTCTCACTAATAAGAGGGGCAGAGGTGTGAGAGCTTGAGCTCTGTATTCATTTAATGCTTGGGTCCAGTCCCCTGCTTTGCTGCTTAATAGCTGTATGTCCTAGGACAAATCACTGGTGTAGGTTGCAGATCCTTCATCTGTAAAATAGCAGGATCATTGTTTCATGTGCAGCTAGTTTTGAGGAGAAATGAGAAAAATGCACATAATGAACTTAGAGCAGCACCCAGCACTAAATATGTACCTAGTAAGTGGTACATGTGAGTACCATTAAGATGACTTAATGAAGTAGGGTTAGGTCAAACAGACAGTTGATGTTTACTTGGTAGAGAATCAAGTTCTCAATTAAATTCTTTAACTTTCAGTTTATATAACATGTTTAGTATAGATTCCCATAGCTTTTGGGTGGGATGTTTGTAAAATGAAATATTTATACATGTGTCTAATGCTGTTGTTTTCCTTCAACCTAGGATTCCTCTGAAGAATCTCCAGTCATCCACCCAGAATTTTCTCTTTAGTGGGCCAGTTTCTTTTTTGTTTTTTAATGCACACAATGAAGCTGGACTTGCAGCTAGCTTGCTGCATTTTGAATTGAGAAAGCCAACTAACACTGTGACCTGACTGACACTCTAATCCTACTCACTGGATGATGCTGGCAAGCTGTGCCTCCTGAGGGAGCAAGCTGTTCTCCCTTGCTTTCTCTTTTTAACATTATGGGGAAACCACTAACCAGCCACCTGGCTTATACAGTGTAGCAAATGAACAGAATCAGGTGGTGTGTTTAGGCAGGTTCTGTTTTAAAAGACCTGAAATTTGTGCTCGACTATCAGTGATTTTTTTTTTTTTTTTAAATTCTAGAGGATTGATGTTATTTTAACTGGGGCTTTACTCTGTTTGACAGTGTTGGGGGATAGTTGTTTGTTATTTACTTATTTGTTGTTTGTTTATTTCTTTGCCTTAAAAGCCATTTTTTTGGAGGGGAGGGGCATTTGTTACCTAAATGGGCTCTTGATAACCCAAAAGCCTTTCGGTCTTTTTCAGCTTGAGCTTTGGGATAGCTCTTTAACTCAGGATGCTATATTCCTCAGTATCTTATTTGTGTTCAAAGAATATATAGCTTTTTTGGAAACTTCTTATTATTCTTGAGTCTAAGATTGTAAGCAGAATTCAGAACAACACTGTATTTTAACAGATTTCAATTTTAAACTGTTTTCCCTCCCCCACTCCCTCCCTTCTCTCTCTTTCCTTTCCTTCCCATTTCTTCAGTGATGCAAAAATAATTGTGTAGTTGCTGAGGTTGTCCCCTTCATTCAGCATCCTCTCACCTAAAACATGTCTGGTGCCAATGGAATACTTCTGAATCAAATTCTTGTGACTCAAGAGAAGTCACTGACCTTCCTAGAGGTGTGTTGAATCATTGTATGCAGTGGGAAGCTCTAGAGTGCACCTAGGAGGGGCTGGCTGGCTGCAGGTGGAGTCCTGTTGACCTTCCCAGGGACCAGGTGTGCAGCTAGATTTTTCTGAGAGCAAGTTGGAATCAGAAGAAAGGAGTGAGCAGCAGTCTCTGTAGAGCCTATAGGATTTAAAGAAGAGACTGTTCTTATTTGGAAGCAGTTGTGGCTTTTCCCCAGTCCTCAAGAGCAGATGCTGTACTTCTCCTCTCCTTATCAAAGGGGCCATGGGGAGAAATTTGGAGATGGGGCTGGAACTTTTGCCTTTTGGGTCGTGTATGTTCACATATGTTTGAGGTGAGCAATGACATGACTTTAGTCTTGTATGAAATATTAACTGTCTGGCAAACAGCATGTGGCAGGTGAGAATGTTCAGGTGTGTGCCTGACTGTGTTAAGCTACATAACCATCCCCACCCTGTGTGCTGGACCCATGTCAGGCCACTGTAGGGAAGCAGATGCCCAGCAAAATATGGTTTGCTGACCTACTTTTACATGATTGAAAATGCTACATTATTGCCRAAACAAAAGATGATTCTGGGCAGCAGAGTTTGGCTTTGTGTCTGACTCTTGGTCCTCTCTTCCATACTAAACTGTTTCTTTTGCTGTTGTAACAGYCATAGTGAAGAAAGTGTATAATTCGGCCTTTAGTACTAATAGACTTAAGGACAGTAGATGTGTGGGAGTATTAACCCATTAAAAGCCCCTTTCTCTGGGGCAGTTTTAGGTCATTGTTAAAAATATTAGCAAATTCAACTGTATAGGTTTCTATTTGACTTCTTTTCTTAAAAGTTGCATTTATCTAAAATATTATTATCTCGTTACTTTACTTCTTTCTCTTATTAAGAAAAAACAGTTTCTTACCCCAGATACTCAGAGACTCCTTTTGGTATCACTAAATCAAAGTAGTGTTCTTTCTTAATTCTGTACTACCTTTCTTTATTCCTTTAAGTGTATTTCATCCTGGAGTAGGGTGGCAGTCTATTAAACATAAGTCTGGCATCAGGTAGAGCAGAACAGTGACCAGATACCTCCTTGTCACCTGTTAGTTCTGTGCTCGGTTTAAGAGAGGTGGTTGACACTTACGAGATGCTATTTGGATAAATGGAATTAGTAACCCAGGGTAGTGTTCTGGTGTGAGGATGGTGAGAGATGTTTACCACATGCACACACTTTTATATAGCTAGTTCCCTGGAACAGTTTATGTGTGTATTTGGGTCTGTTTTTTATTTATTGATTGATTATACTTTCACTTACTTTAAAGGTATTATAGCCATTTTTTTAATAGAAGCTGTGATCCAGTTGGAAACCACATTTGAGGAGTAATCAGTATAACCTTTTACCTTATAATATGTAACTATTCTGATCCTATGGAATCTTATAGAAAACAGAAAAAAAAAAAAACACCTTCCTTATTGCCATGGAAGGTTGCTATCTCCCTTCTGATGTGGTGGGCAGATATTTTTGAGCCAGTATTAGTTAATTTTTTAACCTATAAGATGTTTTTAAATCGGTTTTGTTTGTGTTTATTTTTCATGTTGGAACTGTCTCTTTGGATGTGTCTCTTCTTGTGGCTTTTAAAGTTTTATTTCTTTCTGTGGTCAGCTGCCATGGGTTTTACGTGATGTCAGTATGGGGTGGTGTATATGTGCCAAGGGTGTGCACGCATGAAAATACAGACCGCTTCCTTGATTCAGTTCTGTGCTGGAGGAGCTCCACTGGCTGAATTAKCGGGAGCCACAGGCACTGAGTTTCCAGCCTTTTACAGTAATGGACTTTTGCACTGGGAATAGTGATTTGGTTTGAAAAACTCCACTGCAGCAGTTGAAGGAGGATCAGACCTCTTTCAGCTTGAGTGTCAACAGGTTAGAGGAGCAGGTAACGAATCATAAGAGAACCAGTTGACCTTCCACAAAGGAGAGCTCTTTACCTGGAATGACCACCAAGAGATAAGAATGACCAGGGGACCCCTATGGGAAATGAGGCAGTACAGGGCTGTGAACTGTGGGGACCACTGGATGCTTCATAGGTGACTGTTTTGTTGACCTCCAGGCAGGCCAGTTGACCCTAGAGTCAGAACAGAGCCATTCTTCCCTCCTGAGCAGGAGTTTTGGTCAGCTTCCCTCACAGGAGTCTAYGGTAGCACACGGTTTAAAATCCTGCTTTCTTGGGAAACTTGTGGTCATCGGGGCTGTGCCCCACAGTCTGGCCACGGGACCATGCCACATGGGAGGCATCTTTGGGAACCATGGTCTCTAGACTCTATCTGCTTCCTTGCTCCTTCCAGGGCCCCACACAGAGGCTGGAAGCTGATGGCCCCCTTTCAGAGTTCTCACCTGCATAGAACTTCTTTCCCCAGCAGAGATCGTCCCTTTCCTCCTCTGCCCTGAAACTTTTGTACTGAAGAAGAGGACCTAGATCGAAAATTGGACACCAGCAGGACATTGCAAACTTTGGGGGCAGATTTGGGTTCCTATGATGTACAAACTCTTGAACCAGTGGTAGTTAGTCCTATGGCAAACTCAACCGTAGAAAGCTGGCCTTCCAGACAGCTAATGCTGAGATCTTGATGGAGGAGGGCTAGTGAGAAGGTAGAACACAAATAGCCCCAGTGCTTGGGTTACCATGGAAACTGGAGTGTGTGAGGCCACAGCCTGAGCCAAAGAGCCATTGAACATGCCCCTTACATATTTAGGGACCAGCAGAACCTGCTGGGAAAAACATTCCCTCACCCCAGGGTCCTGTCTTCCTAGCAAGGGTTGTCTATGCACTATTTAAGAACTTGCTCAACAACCGAAGCAAGGTTTCTTAAGAGAGAAAGTTTCACCATTTTTTATTCATTTTATTTACTATATATATATGTATGTGTAATTATAAAGAAATAATCATATGCATTGTCTTTTCTATTTATGTAATATTCTGAAATTAAATTTCTTTTGTTTCATATCCATAGACTTTGACTGGTCTCTTAGTTCACATCATTGGGTTATTTTGAAAAGAGAGGTTGCCTCTGAATCTATGGAACAGATTTAAGAAAGGCTCTTGGGCTGAGGTTGTGGCTCAGTGGTAAAGCCCTGGGTTCAATCCTTAGCACCACTTAAAAAAAAAATAAATAAAATAAAGGTCCCAAGTATAATGTGTCCAACTATAACTAAAAAATAAATATTAAAAAAAAGGCTCCTCTGACCATTGTGGTGGCACATAGCCCACAATCCCAGTGACTCAGGATACTGAGGCAAGAGGACTGTAAATTTAGGGCAGCCTTGGCAACTCAGCGAGGCCCTAACTCAAAAAAAAAAAAAAAAAAAGTCCTGGGAGTGTAGCTCAGTGGTAGAACATCTTGGTTCAATCCTCAGTGCTGATAGATAAATAAATTATTTCTTTTTGGCTTGTTTTTCAGCTGGGTGGGTAGCTCAGGGGTAGTTGGACTTGGGAGCAGATAAGAAATGCAAGACACTGGGCTGCTGAACCTCCTGATATCCTGTGACTGTGTGCTTTGCACAGATCACAGTTCCTCACATAGTATCTATTTCCTCGCTTAAAAATAAGGACTGAGAGTTACAGTAATAGTAAAAAACTAGATATTTAGACAAGTCTTGTTGAAATGTTTCTGTCACATGAATTTTGGGGGAAACACAGATATGGTAACAATACCATAAACTGGGTGGCTTATGAACAACCCAAATTGCCAGGTATGGTGGCCTTTCTGGAGTTCCAGTTCCTTGGGAGGCTGAGGAAAGAGGCTTGCTTGAGCCCAGGAGTTTCAGACCAGCCTATGCAACATAGACCTTGCCTAAAAACAAAATCAAAACTCCAAAGGGGAAAAACAAAAACAACAACAACAACAACAAAAAGAAAACAAGCACAATTGTATTTCTCACATTCTGGAGGCTGGGAAATCCAGGATCAGGATGCTAGTAGATCTGGTTCATAGCTGCCATCTTTTCCCTGTAACTCGCATGGCAGAAGGGACAAGGTTTTCTTTGGGGCTTTTATAAGAGCCTTGTCCCTATTCTTGAGGGCTTTACCCTCTTTACCTAATCATATCTCAAATACCCCACCTCCAAATACCCTCACATTGGGGATTAGATTTCAACATGAATTTTTTGGGAAACAGATATTCTGTTTATTGAAGCTATTGCTCATTGTGTGATTTCAGGTATGTTCCTGAACCTGCTGTCACCTCTTCTGTGAGGTGGAGATCATAGTATCCATGTCAACAGTACTACCATGCTCGTGAACAGATGGAAGGCTAGGGCTTTAATTTGGGATCTCTGGCTGCGCTTCAGGAGAGCATTTGCCCCTGTGATTCTATGTAAAATTTTGTCTATTTGCATTTTTCCAGGGGAGAGATTTCATAGCTTTCACAAGAGTCTCAGAGGAGTCCTTGACCACTAAAATACTGAGAACTACTAGCCTTTAACAGTGCTGGCAGATGGCGAGTATTCATTAAATGTTAATTCTCTCTCTGCCAAGGATTAATTTTATAATCAGCAGGATATTGGTGCTGATGTAGTTATTTTGATAACAAAGGAGCTACTTAAATTCCGAATAGAAATAAAATCTCTGCAGTTGTCTTGACTCTGTGAACTACCCATGTGCTCCTCTGTTGTCAGCTTAGATGCTGCTGAGAACTACCTGTCTTCCCCATGCGTATTATTTACAGTAAAGAAAGGAGTCAGGTCTGCTCCCTGAAGGTGAAGCAGGGAGAAGCTTAAATAAAACTGGTAGTGCCAAAGAAGAGGAAATGGGCTGGAGAGGACAAGGGGTATTTTGAAAAATAGAAGGACGATCAAAATGCCTGAGAGTGCTGAGCATATAGCAATCGATCATCGAGTCACGGAAAAAAATGAAGAGGTAAACATGCATTAAACAGTGGAAAGGGAAGAGAGGAAAACAGGAAATTGGGAAGAGTCATGCTGTGGTCTCCTCCTCCTCCTGGGCTATTTCATTTTCCTTCGCCTGCTGTGGTACATGGCCCACTTTTGCTTTACCAGTGTTCTTGAATCAGAGGCCTTCAGGGGACTGGAAAGTTGAAGGCTGAACCCCAGGCTAGTGGTTAAGGTATGGAGGATGTCATTTAGATGCTTCTCGGAGGCTAGCCTCTTGAACAATAAATTGGATTGAGCAGTGGCCAAGCCTTGGTTCAGTTTGAATGTTAATATCTTAATCCCTTATCAGTGGTATCCAGTGCCCAGATCCTGAGAGTCTTCTACTTGAAATCAGGATTAAGGTGAGTGGGAGGGCCCATCGGTGTCATTGCTACCTTCTCTTTATATTCCCAGAAATAAGTCGTTTTCGTTGTCAAGGCCTTGGTACAGAGGAATGCTTAATTCATTTGAASGGTATCAATGGGCAGAAGAAAAAGGAAAGACTCAACAGTTTAGAAACTGAGCCTGAGGGCCAGAGAAGCCCAGGAGGTGGAGCCAGTGGGCTAGAAAAGAGTCAATCAAACTAAGGAGGTAAGTAAGCATCTTTTGGGGACTCTTGTACCAGCCTGGGTCGGGGGATGTCAATTTTCCACATGGACATCACAGCTGGGTYTCTCTCCACTCAAGGCTGAGGCAAGTACAAATTTAAGATTGTGCTTAAGATTGCTGCATTTATCATATTTTCATGATCTGTGTCCACTGGTAATGACACAGAGGGGAAAATAATAGCCCTCAGAGGAAAAATATTGATGTGATATACAGTCACGTGTTGCCTAATGATGAGGGTACGTTCTGAGAAATGCACCATTAGACGATTTTGCTGTCGTGTGAACATCGTAGAGTGGCACACAAACCTGCA